ACATATATATATATATATATATATATAGTATTTCTAGTCAAAACGAGCCGAACATGAACGAACAAATATTTGTTCGTTTTATTTGTGTAGCTCGTTAACTTAGCGAATGAGCTAAACACGAGCTTCTTAACGAGCCAAACATGAGTTGTTCACGAACAACGAGCCGTTTTGACAGCCCTAGTTGGAACTGATGATCAATGTAAAAAACAATCTCATAAGAGGATTATTGCAGTACATGCACATGCTCACAAGTTTGTGGCCATTTCACAAATGATCTTCATGCACATATTCACAAGTTCTTGATGATATCACAGATAAGAGCGTTGCATCAAGCCTGAATATCATCATTATCAGCATTCCTAAACTTGAAGTAAAAGTAGCCATAATGAAAAATGGTTGGCTCTCCTTGATGAAATATGTACATGCATGTGCTTAAATCAATTGCCACTCTCATAGTTGACACCTCCACCCATGGTTCCACACACATGTTATGCCAATCAAGGCCACAGACATTTCATGCTTGATTGCCTGGTCACTCAAAGGAGAAAGCTTGAAGCTTACAATTATTTGGAAACACTCTCATTCCTTTTTTTTTTTTTTTTTTTTTTTGTTTTAGCCAACCCTTTCATGAAAATTTATCTTTATACTTTAGTTGCGCGCGCACGAGGGCGCAAACACACACACACACACACACAACGTACGAGCGCGCACATACACACATGTATGTATCTATGTATGTATGTATATATATTTAAATGGATGGATAGATGGATTGATGGATGGATGGATGGATGTATATCCCTTTCCTTCACTCAAATCCATTGCTCGATGTAACTATGTTAAATAGAATAAATGAGAGTATTGTTTTTACTTAATTGAAATTTCAATGATAGCTTGGCAGTTCTATATTATAAGCTTTTAGTAAAAATTTTGTTCAGCCCTTGTTTCCGTGTTTTCATTTCGACCATCCTTTCTTGACTCAAACCACTTCTTTCTCTTATTACATCCCTATAAAAATTCCACCCTTTTCCTTCTCTATTATAAAGCTAAAACCCTAAAGATATCTCTTAACTATCACTTAGCCCATACAACAAGCTCTTGACCACCTTCCCCACAAACCTTAACGACCCCATAAAGCATATCCTTCCAATTGTATACATTATCCAAAGCTTCCATAAACCATAAAAATCAACCTATACAACTTCAACTAGTCCTAAAACATTCAAACATAAGCTTCATCCCCTCATAAGCCCATTAAGCCTATAAAAATAAAGGCCTTATTGAGCTACCATCTTCCCCATATCGTCAACATCTATAACTCCAACCACCCTCACCCTCCACCCCCTTCCCCCTTCCCTCTTTCTCTTCTTCAAGAAAAAACAAACACCTCCCTTGTTTTAAAGATCATATCCTCTATGTGCCATTAAAAAGAATGTTAAAACATAAGAGAATATAAAATCTAGTTCCATAATAAATAATTTAAAAAAAAAATAAATTAGTGTAAAAATGCTAATAATCAATCTTTACTATTAGGTTTGTTTTAAAATAAAATTTATTTGACCATTAATTTAATTTTTAACCTTTGTTACCTCTATTTGAGGCTCAAAAAGTAATGGCCTATATATATATTTAAAAACAGAATTTAGAAAAAATAAATTAATTGATTTTATTTAAGAAAAAAGGCAATATATCTACTTCAAAATCTAAGTAAACATGAGCAAAACCACTTGATTAGTAAAATATTCCTGTTATTTTTTTGTAACAATCAAACTGCTTTTAGCAAGAAAAAAAAAAAAAAAAAAGAAAACTTGCAATGCAATTATCTCAATTTCCGTTCATGTAGTATATAAAAATAAAATCAATATGCAAAATTTTAACTTTATATAAATTTCAAACAAATTTCATTTTTTACTTAAATAATGATTTTATCTAAAACTAACAAAAAAATGCACACTTTTACCATATATCAACATTATTTTAAAAACTTAAAGACATATTATAAGGTAAGAGTTAAACATAAAGCAAGCAAAAAAATATATATAAGAGCCTCAAAAGCCATACTTCTTTAAGTTTATTTTCAGTGTCTCCAACAAGGACTTTCTCCCCAAATAGCATGACAGCTTCCTTCACCGATTGGAATGGAGAACTTGTGTCGACCCCTGCTCTCACCATTGGAGCTCTGCCATGGCCACCCTTCACACTTTCCATCTCTGCCGCTTGAAACGTGGATAGAAAAAAAAATCTACGGATTGATTCTAAGGACCAACACTTGTTGTTGAAATTATATTCATTGATCACTTCTCATGAATAGGAAGGATAAGGTAAGGAAGATAAGAGGAGCATGGAGTTGGTTTGAGGCTTGAGATTTGCTAGAGATGATATATATGATGAAAAGAGGGAGTTCCTTTTCTTTGAGTCCACTTCAATGTTATTCCTTTGAGGGATGGAAAGAGGAAAAGGAGAGGGTTCTGATGGGAACATTGCAACTAATTAAAGCAATGTATGAATAATGATAAGAGAGTAAGGAATGAAAAATGATTTTGCTTCATTGAAAGAATTTGTTTGTTCTCTTTCTTACAATCTTTTGTTGCCAATCTGCCTTTTGATTTTTGAAGGAAAAACAAATGGCTTAAATTAGATAGTTCTTTTTGAGGTATTAGGATGAATATTTTAATTTTGTATTAAAGTAATACTTTTTCTTGAAGAAATAATTATAGTTTTTATTTGTGTTTTCTAAAATAAAAATGTCTTATAGTTTGATGGATATGACTTTAAGCCTATAGAAGCCATAAGTTCTAGTTAAAATGAACTTAAGGTGTTCTTGTTCAAATATTTAGTTTCTTATTTTGACTATAGAGGGTGGGAGTATGAGATAATATTTAGGGAATGGGTGGGTCATGTTTATTTCTTTTATTGTTAATCATCTTTGAGTTGGATTGTGGTGTAAAAAACAAGGACTTGTTTGCTTGCATGTAAGTGAGAGAAAATGATATATGTTCATATGTTAGGTATTATATAAGTGAGAAGTGGGAGAAGCGGGTGTTGTAGATTTGGTAGCTGAAAAATGAATGGTAAATTATTCTTGTAGATGATTAATGCCTTGTATTAGTTGTGTGGATAAGTTTTAAGTATTTATGAATGTCTTACTCCCCATAAGATTTAAGTATCAAAATGAGAAATAAGAATTCTAAAAGAGAAGAAAGAAAGAGAGTAGGAAGCAAAATTTATGTGTGAGTTTGTTGCATGAGTTTGTAGTTATATTTAGCAAGTAATCAAAGTTTGACTATGTGATAAATTTTCAACAATGCCATGTAAGTGCGTAGAAAATTTGTCATAAAAACTTAATTATCCTTTTAAGTACTAAACCTTTATTAAGTATCCAACGTAAAAATTATTAGTTCTAGTTTGGGTCAACTCTTCAAAAAAGATTAGGATTAATACGCCATCAAAAAATTTCAAGCCTCCAACATGAATCTCAATGTATGACAAGGCTCTCAAGATAATATTTTAAACAAGAAATGTTCAATCCAAGATAAATAGTCATCTGGAAGTTCGATTTCAGCAAACTTACTGTTAAACTGATCGATTTGACAAGACGAACCAAGTGATATCAAACTTGGTCCAATTTGAGTCAAATCAAGCTCACATCAAGCTATTAAACCACAATAGAAAGCTTTCTGAATATTTAGCAGGTTAAATGGATATCGAATATAGTGAACTCATCGTTGAATCAAAGCGTCTCGACAAGACAATTCCAACAAGCCCAAGATCGCTCAATTTTGACATCGTTAAGGCACTCAAATGCCAATCAAACACCTTCTGATCGTAGAAAGCTCTCCGGATCGCGCAATCAAAGTTATTCATATTTATTCATTAATTGCAACCGGGACTCTATAAATATAGCCTCACCCCTCTCATTAGAGGGAGGAGAGCTTCGAGCCTGATGAAGAGCTTGAAGCTTTGAGGAGTTGAAGTCCAGCATAACTCCGACCACCATCAACCGCCGCTGACTACCGTTGACCACCACTCGCCAACCCTCGCAGATTATCATTGGCCACTGTCTCTTCTTTGCGATGAGATCGTCCGCACATAGACAATGTAATTTGGAAGATTTTGTAAATCTTTATTGTTTGTGGGATAATGGGTCTTTTTGATCATCAATTTATAGTGAATTTTTACAACTGGAATATGCCCTGTGATTTTTTCCCTTTCTGAATTTTCCACAAAAAAAAAAACTTATGGTGTCTCTACTGGTTGTTTTCCTTCATCTGAGTGTATGTTGAATTCTCATGCAATGCTAAGGCAACGTTCTATCACTCCACCGTTGCGAATTTTCTAGCATGTATCTGTTTGGTGTCGTTTGTTGAAAACGAAGCACCATTTGACACTGTCTTCAACTCTGAGATGTCAAGCTACTAATTCCTTTCTCATTGATGTACACCATCCAACTAGCAAAAGAACCTTTTTTGCCCCTTGAAAATCGATCATCTCTGGAGCATTCTTTGATGTGGAGGGCAACCTTCATTGCAATATTGAAAGGTTGTTCACGTCAATGTTACAGGCACAATTGTAGTTGGGTTGTCTTTTTGCATCCTATTTAGACATAAAGTCTTTCACAACTTCTTTCAAATTGTGGGGGGGGGGGGGGGGGGGCAACCTTTACTGCAGTCTCAAAGATCATTAAGATTAACGTTTCAAACATGACTATGGTAAGATTATCATCCCACATTTCGTTTAGACAATAAGTCTTTGAAAACTGTTCCTAGAGTGGAGCAATCTTTATCACAAATAGCGCTTTCTCGGTGTCCCCTAACCGTAATGGTCTTCATCTTTAAAAAAATTAAGAAGTCGATCTCTTCAAGGTTCAATACATGGGTTGATTTACAACTTCATGTAAAAAATGCCACCACTAGGGGGCAAATCCAAAAGCAACAACTAACGGGTTGTTAAATATTATTCTTAAGTATGACTACAACCATGGTTCCAAGAAAACATATGGGACCCCGGGAAGTCGAGCTTAAGAGGTAAGACTCAATGGGAACTAACATGCCCCTTTAAGTCGAGCTCAAGAGGCAAGACTCGATGGGAAGATACGATAACTCTAGAAGTCGAGCTCAAGTGGCAAGACTTGATAGGAAGCTACCATGCCTCTGAAAATTGAGCCCGAGAGGCAATACTCTATGAGAAGATAGGGTATCCTTTGAAGTTGAGCCTAAGAGGTAAGACTCAATGAGAAGATACCATGCCCCTAGAAGTCTAGTCCAAGAGGCAAGACACAATATAAAAATACAATACTCCCCATAGTAGATCCCAGGAGGCAAGCCTCGATGGAAAGATGTAACACTCCTGGAAGTCAAGCCCATGACACAAGACTTGATGGAAAGCTACCATGCCCCTGGAAAACAAACCTAAGAGGTAAGTCTCGATGGAAGCTATTAGTGGACATACTCCTCACTAGATGGACTCCACAAAAGAAAGTGGTTGGCAAGATCTCTACTCAAAAACCTCAGAAAGTTACAATGCTCAGAAGACACAGGTACATCAAAGGTCTCAAAAGGCTACAAGCCTTAGAAGGTAGATGTACATCAAAGACTCCAGAAAGCTACAATTCTTAGAAGGCATAACTACATAAACGATCTCAGAAAGCTACAAACCTTAGAAGATATAGGTGCATTAAATATCTCAGTAGGCTGCAAGTCTCAAAAGGCACGGGTCCTCAAAAGGTTATAAGCCTTAGGAGGAATAAGAATATCAAAGACCTCAGAAGGCTACGAGCCTTGGAAGGCACCGACGTATTTCAAGCTTCTAGAAGACATAAGCCTAAGAGGGAACAAGCCTCAGAAGATACACACTCAAGTGGATACAAATCTCAGAGGGCAAGAGTCTAAAAAGGTATGTGATTATTTTCTATAAATTGCACAAGTAACTTTGATTGTTGACTTCAAAACGTTTGAGAAGCCAATGAACCTCAGAAGGCATAAGCCTCAGAAAAGGTCAACAGCAATATGTAGCCCAGAAAATGGGCAACAATACACCAGAAGTGAGGCAAAAGCATTCTAGAAGGGGCAATTTCGGCTTAAAAGGAAAGACAAAAGCAACCTCAGAAGCAACGTCCAAATTTTTTTTGCATTGATCTGAAGAAAAACTTACAGAAAATATATCATCACCGTGTACAACTGCCACATCAGACAACTAAAAGACTATAATGACTAACATATACTTGTATAATGACTATAATAAATCAGCTCATCTTCGTGCGGAGTCGAAATCACTTCCTTAATATTCCAGTACTTTTGTTGGTGTTCAAGGGATCTTTAGATATTGCAACCACAAAAGCATGAAAATCTTCTTCAAAAAGTGCGGTGAGAAAGCTCTGGTATTTCATTTTTATCAGAATGTGCAGAAGCAACAAGCAAGAAGATCCAGAGTCACCTGCTGGAAAGGAACAAGAAAAACTTTCTTCATCTCAGCAACGCGAAAGAAGATCTCATTTATCGTCTGGTACACAAGATGGGGATGAGTTTCTCCTTCACAGCAATATGAAAGAAGATCTCGTTGATCACCTGCTACTCAAGTTAGAGATGACTTCCATCTGCACATTCTTCAAAAAATAAGATCCTATTGATCCTCTGCTACGTAGGGCGAGGACGACTTTCTTCTGCGTCGCAACATGAAAGAGGATATCGTTGATCGTTTGTCATGATCGAACATGCACGACTTTCTTTTGCGTCACAACACGAAAGAGGATCTTGTTGATCTTGTGCTACGTAGGCTGAAGATAATTTTCTTCTTATGAGAAATCCCGGATCTCCTACTAAGCAGAGTCGGGGACTCCACTTACATGCTCAACTTCTTGTCTATTTATAGGCTAAAAAATTATTCCAGCATTAAATGCCCACAAATTAAAAAATACAATAAAATTTGCTTGAATTTTTTTTTTCATTCAGTCTACGCCTTATTACTTTTCATCTCCCAAATCCATTAACACAAAAAAAAGAAGAGAAATGATTTTAGCTTTATTCAAAAAAAAAAGGTGGATGGATCCATTTTTTTTTCACGCACATTATTATTGTTCAATATATGGGTAATGTTATATCTATATACGATGACTTAATTTTATGATTGTTTAACGGAACTCGTTTAGTCAATCACATGCTGAATATTTAGTGTGTGTGTGTGTGTGTGTGTGTGTAGAATGTGATGAGAAAAATCAAGTTCAAGGAATTTGGATATTTTTCGATGATGAAATTGTTCTTACCTGAAAATAGAAGGGAAACTGATATGTCATCAGCAAATTTCAAATATCCAACACAAATCTCAAGACTTGACAAAGATCTTGAGGTAATTTTTTGGGCAATAAAAGCTAAACCTAGATAGAAAGTCATCTGGAAGCCCAATTTCAGCAAACTTACAGTCAAACTTATTAATTCCACGAGACAGACCTAGTGATACCAAACTTGGTCCAATCCAAGTCAAATCAAGCCATTAAATCACTTTTTAAAGCTTTATGGACATATTTTGCAGGTCAACAAATTTCAAATCTAGTGAGCTCACAGTTGAATTTAGCATCTCGACAAGAAGAATCCAACAAGCCCAATATTGTTTACTTCTGACATCATTAAGGTACTCAAATGTCCATCAAACCCCGTCTAATCAATGGAAGCTCTTCAGATCATCCGATCAAAGTAGTTATTCATTCATTAATTGTAATCGAGACTGTATAAAAATAGCCACCACCCCTCTCATGGGGAGGGGGGAGAGCTTGAAGCCTGAAGAATAGCTTGAAGCATTGAGGAGCTGAAGTCTAGCATCACTCCGCCCACCGTCGGCTGCCGCCGCCCCCGCCCTCGCCGGTTATCATCGGTCGCCGTCTTTTCTTTGCAATGAGATCTTTCGCGCATCGATGTTGTAATTCGAAAGACTTTGTAACACTTTCCACCTTATGGGACAAGAGAAAACCACGTGGTTTTATCATTTTCTAGGTTTTTCATCTAAAAACTTCTTTTGTCAACACTGTTTATTCTTTCATCTAAGTGCGTGTTGAATTCTCGTGTAATGCTAAGACGATAATCTATTACTCTAACACCGCAAATTTTTTAGCACACATCAAGGATATTCACATAAAAGACAATGGTCCTCCAATAAGCGTGACAAAAGTAATTTAATTATTAGGATAAAATTTTAAATTAATAGAGTATTTTGAATATTTAAAACAACTTTGCAATATATCTCGAGACATAATATAAAGATGCATTTTGGCTTTTATCATCTTCATTCCAAGCATATAATTTGAATACCAATACTTAACTTGATAGCGACCAACTCAAACTTAGCCAACAGTTATTTTTAAAGATCATATATTAAACATATCATGAAACTTAGATTAGAAAATTAAATCATTGAATCATGTTGGAACTAAACCTAAGGCCCTTATGCAAATGCATGCCTTGTTATGCACAAAGATAACAACAAAGCATGTATCATTTCATATGTATCATTAGGTATAAAATAAGGCATATCCATCTTAGCCAACACATAACACCTATCTTCCTACTTAAGCTTCAAACCAAATCACATGGTATTCACCAATATCTTCCTTCAGAATCCCCGACGCCTTCCGCACAGCTAGAGAAGCATCGACAATATAATTATGGCATGGCGGCTGATTGTCATGATCATCATCACAATCATTCACGGAATCACACTCATCCACAACTTTAGCCAAAACCGGCATCTCATTAACACTTATCCTTACATTTTTCAAGCATCAGTTGCCATGATCATATCAGCCAGTTGAGATCGCCACCACCTTCTTCTCATCACTATAAAATTTATTACCGCGCTCATTATAACAAAATTATAGAACAAAACCTGGCGTACGTTGGTGCAATTTTGTTCCCTTACCAATTGGTGATTTACATGTTTGATGCTGATTAAGAGTTTTTGTTTCATGCAAATCAGAATTAAAATTAATAATAAGAAATAGGACAATTTCATTCTGATTGAGTGTTTTTGTTCATATAAATCAGATTAAAGCAAAAAAACGAAAAATAAAACATAACTTAAATTCATTTTTTCTGTGTCGACTGTCGGATCCGCCCGACCCGCGTGATCTGTGTGCCTGGATCAGGTTGACCTGAACTTGAACAACTCTGGCCTACCTTCAAGTGCACAATCTTACAACATTGCTCAGCCCGATCGGATCGGGCCTCCGACCTGCGACCCGCTCTAACAAGCAACCCACTCTAAACCACTAATTGCTCTAACCCGTGCTCTGATGAGGATCGACCCACAATCAAGTTTACCCGTGACGACACACACTGCATCGATGACTTAGACCCTGTTCCAACCCATGAGGTTTCTCCTATGCATTTAGTTGTCCGCCACCGCCCACCCGCTATCACCGTCACCCATCGCACTCCACCAGAAGTCACCACCGGTCACCAAATTTTCAACTAAATCCTCGGAAAATAGGGACAAATGATGACATCAACTAACTTTACCATTTGACATGAAACTGGAGGCATTTGACATAGATTTTGATACATTTTTCGAGCAATAAATATTCTAATTCAAATTAAAAAACGTCCGGAGCTTCACTTTCAACAAACTTATGGTTAAATTGACTGCTTGATGAGAAAACCCACAGTTATTACCGTCGAAAATGTTTTCATCCTTAGATTACCAACAACAGAAAAAATATACGCCCTCTTGACGATCACAAAGTCGTATGTTCATAATTAACATAAAGTTTTTTTTATATTTATCAATAGCCTTTGATCATCAGAAATGGCCTGAATTCCTGTAGTGAGGATCACGTGTACCAATCGAAACCCTAGAGGAAAAACGAGTGTGCAGGATTTGAAGGGTCAACAAAAAAGTTTTAGATTTGTTCTCATGAATAACATGGTGACATCCCCATTGGCCATTGTAGCTCTTCATGGTACCATCTCCAATGGCGCCTGCAAGAAGCACTATGCATCAAAAGTTTGTTACAAAATATGAGAGGAAATAAACTTCTTAACATCCACAAAACAGTAGCAATCTTTACATAAAAATTTTAGAAAAAGAATTAAACTTGTGACATTCTTCAAGAAAATCTTCCAGAAAATTTTGACCAACACTAATTTTGTTTTGGTTTTTCTTTCTCACAAGCCTTTGTGGTCAAAATTTGGAGTCTCTTTTATCAGTTCCTCAACTTCCTGCCATCTTCTCAACTTTCCTTTTAGGAACCACAGTTCGTGATCCAACCAATTCTTGAAGGCAATGTTATTTTGAAGGGGTCAATAATGATAGAGTAATTAGAGTATAATATATTTAATATCTTGTATTAATTTATTAAGAGTTGTTGATTAGTTATAGATTATTTAGCATGAAATTAGTAGTTTTGCATTATATAAATTGCTTTATTTTTCGAGAATATAGAGGAATTGAATGAAAATGTGATAAGCTATTCGTCTAATAGGTGTTTTCTTCTTCTGTCTCCTTCTCTATTTTCTAGAGTTATCGAGATCCTCGAACGGCCGTTAACCTTTTTCAGTCTGAGTTTTCCTTCTCTAATTCTCTCCCACCAAACTTTTAAAGTTTTCGACATACTCAAATTATAATTCATATATTCTGGTTATCAATCATAAACCCTAAATATCTTGTATTAACTTATTAAGAGTTATTAATTAGTTAATGGATTAATTATCATGGAATTAGTAGTTTTGTTTCATTAAATAGACTTCATTTGGAGCATATTGAGGAATGGAATGAAAATGTGATAAGTTATTCTTCAATTTTAAAGTTGTCAGCATTCTCAAATTATAATTTACCCTTCTCGATCTAAATTTCCCTTCCCTGGTCCTCTCATATTTAATTTTCTAGTTCTCAGCATCCTCAAATTGTCATTTATCCCAATTATCAAAACCAACATAGTAGCAAAATGGCAAGAAGATAGATGTAAATTTATTATGAAAATAAATAAATAAAGATTTTTAAGACACATGATATAGCAACTAGTGGGTTTGTTTGAAACCCATGAAGGAAAAATGTATAAAAAATAAGTCATAGCTTTCCTTAGTCAACATATAACTCCTCTTCACTTGCTACCTAAGCTTCAGACCAAACTACATGGTATTCACCCACATCCATAGAAATCCCCAACGCCTTCCAAACAGCCGGAGAAGCATCAACAATATTATTACGGCACGGCGGTTGATTCGCATGACCGCTATCACAACCATTTACCGAGTCGCACTCATCCACAACCCTAGCCAAAACAGACTTCCCATTCGCATTTATCTTTATATTTTTTGAGCATCGGCTCCCATGATTATACCATCCCGTCGAGAGAGCCACCACCATCTCATCATCGCCATAATATCTACCTTCGCACTCCGAAGCACCGCCACCATCACCGCCCCTTGCGAAGCTATTGACAGTCATCTTCGCCAGCGTTTTCTCTGTAACAGGCGGCGAGCAATGATACTGAGCATAAGACTCGCTGCCCCGGCAACAACCGGAGCCGTTCTCCCTGTTGCAGCTTCCACTACTTCCATGGAGATAGCTGCTTGGGCTGCACTGTGCCCGAAGAGTGGAATAGCGCATGCAGAAGCAAAGGTTAAGACTTGCTGATAATATGAGTAGCAGAAGCAGGGATGGTGCAGCTGAGGAGTTTTTCATTTTGATTAGATGGCTTCAGTTTTGGTGAGGCCTGAAGATTTTAGTTCTGTGTTTGGGTATTTATAAGATATAGATATTGATTCTTAATTAGTATTTATGTGGGTTTAAGTAAATGTAAACATGATTATTCTGATTATAACCTTTTTAATAAGTCAAAGGAAGTAATTAACTATAACTAAAACCTTGTCATTATAACATATAAAAATTAGAGATGAGAATTTTATATTGTTGTTATTATAATATATATATATATATATATAGTAATTTGATGGTTTACATGTTTGATGCTTCTGAAGAGTTTTTGACTTTCTATTACTGCAGACCAGAATAATGCAAAGAATAAAACACATCTTGCAGTTTCGTTTAATTTGTGGTTTAATAGAATGGTGTTATTGAAATGTTAAACTGTAGAAGATGTTGTTGGATGGTTTCTTGACATCGAATGGATGTTTTCAAAAGGAATAATTGTTCATTTCTTTTAAAATCTAGCAATAAATTAATATATGATGAAACAGAATTTACGTGTTTTCAATAAGTTATATATTTTTTATGTATTTGCAGAGGGGTGTAAACGAATCGAGTCAAGTTCGAGCTACTTTTAGCTAGAAGTTGAGCTTGATTAATTTTATGAGCTTGAGCTTAAGAGTCCGTTTGGAGTGGTAATGTGGTAGTGGTACGACACCCCACCACAGTTTTATCTGTTTGCATTTTGACCGTTTTTTCAAAACGCTGCCTCTGAAGTCTGTATTTTCTCACTGGTCCTAACTAGGTGCGGTGGTAGCTTTTTAGCTGGGGTCTGACTTTTTCAAAACAAAAAAAAAATTATAATAGTCACCGCAACTTTGTAAACATCAGATTATTTTCCAGCAGTTTCACAGCTATTTTTTTAATAAGCCACAACTTCAAATTTAGTATATTTTGAATATATTTTATATTAATATTTTTTTTAAAAAAAGAGTCGGTTCATGAGCTAATGAACTGAGTCCGGGCTAGCTTGAGCTTGGCTTAATAGCTCATCGAGCTCAGTTCATAAGCCACTTATCGAGTCAATCAACAACCAACTCACGAGCGAGCTTTACACTTACACCTCCAATTTGTATATCTAATTCTAAAATTTAATCTTTATATACATCAAACGCTAATTCCTAATTTTATACTAGAAATATCACTATTAATAACTTTTTAAGAGTAAAACACATATTTTCATTTGCTTCATCATATTTATGAAAATAATGTTTAATTTTCTGGTGAAAAATATTTTAAAAAAAAAGGGGGGTATCTTTTAAAAAATAAACATATTCATGCAAAAGTTATAATTGATTATCTTGCTGTGAGCACAAAAATGTTCTCATCAATCCTTGACAAAGCTGTTGATGGTTATACATTGTTAATATTTTCACTTAATAATTTAATCAAAATATGTATGTTAGAATATAAATTAATAAAATATAAATTAATAATAAATGGCTTTTTTTTTTTTTTAATAAATAAGATTTATGATAAAATGAACAATGTTGGTTGTGCCATTTAATTACATTAAATACAGACTGATTTCAAGTAAGATTTGAATGCATATGAAGCTATTGGTCTACTTCACTAAAGTTGGCAGAGTTCAGATGACTAGCTATGTAGAAGTTAAGAGATTTGCCCTAATTTGGTTATTGCCATCAATACTCACTACAGTTAAATAAAATACACAACACACTGTTCAGCTAATCAAGAGTATACTCTATTGCTTTTCTCTTAGAATTCCAAACTTTCATAGATTTATCAACATTAATGTTACACTTTATTCCATTAATAATTTCCTTAAATTATGTAATTTTATTAAGGAATGCATGAAATAAATAAATGGTATATGAAATTTCAATTCCATTGATGATGCTATTAATGGCTTATTGAATGGCTATACATATTATCACTCTTAAACTTGAGATATGCTTTAGATCCCTTCGATCGTTAGGACAGCATCATAATTTGAAGATTAGTACAAACTTCAAAGCAGTAGATGTTAAAAATAAAACCTGGCCGATCATAATTTCTCCTTTCTATATATAAAAAAGTATTTCATCACTGTATGTTATTTATTCAAGTGACATTTATTTAATCATCCAGCATAACCAATTGATGCATATACTAATCACCATATTCCATATCACAGATTTGTATCTTCCGGCTACGCTTGTAAATTCATAAGAATTAAGTACTATGTACCTAACACCAGAAAGTGTGCTTGAATCAATCACTGCTTATGACAAAGAGATGCCTAAATGCATAACTAGAGATTCTCAGAATAAAATTTAGGGGCATTTACATAAATACCACGCAATTCATCTGTATTTACATGCCCAAGATAAATATTCATATTTACACAAATAGCGGCCAAATCTTTAACATCACATCAAAAATACGATCGTCAGCACCATTTTCAAAGTGGAAGTAAATGGTGGTATGCATTTATATTTTCCTAACATTTAATTTCAAATAATCAAAATCAAAATTGCAGTGTGATATGCATTATTTTGCCAGGAAAGATTAAGCATTCAAGATTTGATTGAAAGGTTTACAGCAGTAGTCATGAAGCAGCAGTGCCTTTCTGCTAAAAAAAGAATTAGTGCCTTAAGGTGGAAAGAAAAATGAGCACAAATTAAAATTATTATAAGAAACTATTAGGATTGTTTGTAAGAATCATTGCAATGTGTCTTCAACCTTCAGTGATGACCCTTCTTTTCCTCTGCTTTTCTCTGAGACTTCGCCTTGGCCTGCAAAAAAAAAATGAAAGATCTCAGAAAAGAAAATTTGCAGCCTGCAAAGTAGTACACAAGACCTTTGCTTTTACATGCATACCACCCAATTCCTATGTATTTACATAACTAACATGTAAGCTTTAGCTTTTACATTTATGCCACCCAAATATTTCATTTACTATAAATGAACTTCAAAAAGGTACGTCGTTTGAAAGAGAGTGACGAATTATTTGACCTAAAAAGGTGAAGTTAACAATAAAAAATATGTATAAAGATAAAAAAAATTAGGCTCATACAAGATGGCCAAAAAGATTTGAAAAGCTAAAGATAATATTACAGTAATTTGATTAATAACTCAGTTCAATGGAACTTTAAAGACTATAAATAACATAAATGATAGGAGATAATATTTTAACACAAATAGTTAAGAACAAAAAAGTTATTCAAGATTGTGCTAACTATAGATAAAGAACTCAAACTTAGTCATATAGTGAGCTTAATTGATAGAAATGGAACCAAGACAGAAAATTATGCAAGTATTAGATAATCAATTTGGTTCCAAACCAAGATTCATTCCAAAAATAGTTTATTTTAAGACAACTACTAAAAAATCATAGAGCAGAAAAAAATCTTCATGTATTTTTAATGATTTTGAGAAAGACTAAAAACATATGTTTTGATGACTAACTTGGTGCCTGCCAAGAGAAAAAAAAGCTGTAAAAAATTAATCAGACAAACATTTAACACGCATTCGACATGTGCCAAACATGCCGATCATGCGTACAACTTAAAAAAAAAATTAAGATTTTCAATCATCTACTAACATGAGTCTCCTGAATCATTAAATTTAGAATTCCCAAATAATAACTAAATACTAGATTTTAATGATTCATATCGTACCAAATAGCTTATGTTTTTTACATTTATGTTGACCTCATTTTGAGGTCATTACTCTTTTCCTTAGAATCCTAGGATCTAGCTCTAGGGGTTCCTATTGACTATCTTAGAAAACTAGTGTTGGAATTCATCCCCTTAGAAATTCCAGTCACTTCCTATTTCTCTTGTGATGTCTCGCATTGATGATCTCAAAACCATCGTCGTATGGTCGAGTGGTTTAAGGACTATCATGTGGAGACTCAATGAGAAGTTCCCAATAGGATCTCAAACCCTAGGAAAACTTCACTTTATCATCTTCAGGACTTTATCATCACACACACACAAAATACACAAAATTCACTAAGTTGCACAAGATCGGACTAAAGTTGACTCTAAAGGATGGGTGAAAATGCGAACTTCTCCGAACGACCTCCGACGCCGAAATGGACCACGCTAACGCGTCCGGAAAGTCAGAATTACTTAAAAAGGACATTCATTTTGTTATGTTGTGACGCACGAAAAAAATGTACAAATTAAATTTTTATTTTTGAAATATTAAAAACTTTTATATTTATATTATTACTTATAATATTGAAATTATAATCCTAAAGCCTATTTACCCCCTTACCCACGCATTTATCTCTTCATTCAACCCATCCCGCAGCTCGATCCCGCAGCGCTTGTCTCGCCCCCTCTCGTGCCCTAGTTCCCGTGACTCATCCGCGCGGCGATCTCCCCCTCCTCTCGACTCTTCTCCTTCTTCGCGTGGCCGCTTGACCTTTCGACTCTCCAATCGCAGGGGATGGGCTGGCCGACCCTTCTTCTTCTCGAGGCTTTAATTTCTCCTTCTTTAATGTGACGATTCAATCCCTGTTGTTCTATTCGACCACGAAATCGTGGTAGGTGGTGGTTCCCCCCTTCATCTCTGCCTATAAAAAAGCTTCCTAAAATACTGTTTTGGGTGGTTGAAAATTTTGAGAGGGAAAGGAAGGCTGAGATTGTTTTGCTAGTTGCTATTTAAGGCTCTCAGAGGGAGGCTCTACCGAAATTCCTTCTCGGCTAGGTTCTTGTGTGCTGAAGTGTTTGTTGGTTGTTGTTTCTCAAAGCTTTTAGGAGGAGAGTTTTTGTAGGAGGTGTTTTCTTGAATCTGTCTTACAGTTTTGCTTTGAGTCTGCATTAATAGGTATTTCTTTTCTTTCCTCTAATTCGCACCATTTCGGATAGCATCTAAAAGTATTTCTTTTCTCTTCTAAAGTATGTGAAGATAAGGTTTAGGCCTGCTTCAAGATCTAGTCATGGATACTTGCTAGAATCAATAAAAATGAAGCATAATATGGATATTTTTCTCTCCTTCTGCTAAAAAATGCATGATAGATA